CTAGTATTTGTGGTTATTTTGCTGAGGCATGGAACTATTTTTACTTGCCTTGGCCACTCCATGCATGGTTTATACACTTGTTGTGTAAATCACACAAACTAGTCTTGTATGCTTCATGAAGTAGCATGTCATTCTAGCTTATTTTTTTTTCCATTTCAGTAGGTTTTTGGTGTTTTTTTAGCATGGCATGACTTTGTTTTGGTTGGGTTTGGTTGGCCCTTGCATGCTCCATGCACTTGTAGTGCATTTCCATGAATTAGCCTAACATGCATCATGCTTTAACATGTCATTCTAGCATACTTTTGGCTTAACTTTAAGAATAGTTTGTCCATGTTGTAACATGCTTTAGCTCTGATTTTGGTTGTTTTGGCCATGCATGACTTGCTTTGTATAGCCATAGTACAATCTAGCTTGTTAGCTTCGTGTACTAAGTCCACTAACATGCATTACTTGGACTATTTGAATGATTTGATATCATCTTATATGTTATTTCAGTTCATGTTTCATGCTCATGCACTTGCATCTATCACTCATTCAATGCGTTGGAGGGTTGGCCCATTTATGCCTTAACATGAACCATTGTGTATGCCTTCATGCCTTAGCTTGTGAGCCATCATTTCAGAGCTTATTTGGGGTTATTTTGCCATCATATAACTCTGATTTTTGTCGGTTAAGTCATCCCATGCTTGGTCTTAATAGGTATAGTGTAATCCACCTTATTTGCCTTGTATGCACCATGCCTTATGCCCTCCATAATAGCTTGTTTTGGCTTCCTTTCATGCACGTTTTAGACTCATTTTAACATGTTTTATGACTGTTTTGGGTTGCCTTTGTCATATGCTTCATGCTTTGTATAGCTGTAGTGCAATTGGCCTTGCTATCTTTGTGATTTGTCGACTCATGCATGCTATCTTTGAGCTATTTAGATGATTTGGCATCACTTAATACTTCATTTTAGAGCATGTAGCATTTCCATATTCCCACTTCATTCACTCTTTAAGTGCATTTGAGTGTTGTGCATTGTTGCCTAGTTTACGGCCTAGCATGTATGCCATCTTGCCTAGGTATTTGAGCCTCCATCTTGGCATGTTATGGTCTTTGTCTTGACCTGTTTTAGCTCTATCCATGGTTGTTTCATGCATTTGTGCTGTGTATTGCATGCCCCCTTTGTATTCCTCTTTGTTAGCTTTAATGCTTAAGGACCTTTGCGTGCCATGCTTGTTTTGTTTGAATGATTTGGCATCATTTCTTACCTCATGTCAGTGTATTTAGTGTTGTTACACTTCTGCATTTGTCACTCTTTGAGCACTCCTGAGAGTTGTGCTCTTAGGCCTCTTTGATGGGCCATTGCATGTGCATGTTCGTATATGCTTCATGTGCCTTTATTTTATCACCAATGGCCACTAATTTGGACATGATTAAGGTCCATCCACTTTGGTTTAAGTCCATTAAACATTGTGCATGCCATGTAGTTCATGGCATTGAGTATGCCATGTTGTTTGCATGTTGATTCATTGTATTGTGAATGCCATGTTGTTTGCATGCTTAGGTCACATTACATTGAGTATGCTACCATTTGCATTCTGTATGCTAGTTGTGCATGCCATTAGCCTTGTTAGGTTATTTATGTTACATTGCATGTTTGCATGCTTAAGTCATATTGCATGTTTGCCATGCTTGTGTTGCATTATTGTTTGGATTAAGTATTAATCCGAGCATGAGAAACGAGGGACGTTTCATACTTCAAGTGATGAAACGTGCCTCAATTCTCAGTCGCTGACGCTCTTGATGATGCATGATAGAGTTTTAGGCTTTATATGTTTATTTGTGCATTCATTTTACATTGAATTTGCACAAGTTGGATCTTTGGCCATCATGCATCGAGATGCGTGATTGATGGTCTTGGATCCGATTATGCCTCTCCCTTGATGTTTTGAGGTGATATGGGGTGGCATAGTGCGTACATATCCTTGAGAGACCCTTCATTTTCTCTGTTTTGTGCTCTGTTGCAACTTGGTGTCACAGAGCACCAGTGGCCGGCAGTCTGTCATCCTTGGCTGGCACCCCCCTCATCCTTGGCCGGCAGTGGGACTCTTGGCCGGCTGGGTGGTTGGCAGCAGCCCCTCATGGTCAGCAGGGCACTGGTGCACTCCTCAGCACTATTTTGGTAAGATCCAGCAGCTAGTTCTCAAGGACACCTTGCAGACAGAGCCTCTAGTGAGCATTCAGAGAGCTTTTGGGACGAGAACCGAGCATGCATCTTCAACTTCTTCAAGGCAGAGCTGAGGCAACCTAGTTTACATATTTTAATGCTTACTTGTTAGTTAGTATTCAAATTTGTAATTAATTAATTAATTTGTCAATTAATTAAGTGTTGTAATAATTAGTTGTAGCTAGTTATTCAATTTGGTTATGTAATAATTAGTTTAATTAGCGTAGCTAGTTAGCTAAATTCATTCGGACCCTCCGTCGAGAGGGCATATGTTGTAATAAGGGTGCGTGTGTGTGTGCATGTCTTTCAACTCCCATTTCTTTCTCCCTTTTACTTACCTGCTTTCAGTGGTTAGTTTTAGAGCACGTTTCAATTAACATATCTTATGCTCGCATGCGTGCATCATTCATTCGTATTGCATGCACCGGGCTCGGCTCATCATACTAACTGCATTGTATTTCAATTCCAATTTGAATACATATATCGAACTATTGCATTTCACATGCCATCTTAGAATAGCCGAGCCTATTTTAGATGCATTTTCGCATGCGTTGCATTAGCCATCTTAACATGAACTAAGGTCATGCATGATTTCTAACTAGTTCTCTGTTTTGGCTCAGAGTACACTGTGAGTGTTTATGTTTTAGTATCTTGCATGAGTGTCAGTGTTGCCATGATAGCATGCTTGCCATGAGGCTAACTGCTTATGTGATATAACTGCTTGAATGCCTGTGGGTGAATGTTGGATTGCTTGAATTGGAACAATTCATTGAAATCCTCGATTTAGCTTACTTGCGAGTAGCAAACTTCAAACTGTTTTCAAACAAACAAATATGCAATGCTTTGTTCCAAATTAGGCGATCTAGTCTATACTTGTATGCTGTGCGCATCACATAGTAATTCTAGGCTTAATAATCGGAATAAGAATACATGTGTTTTCAAAAACAAGATATCATGCTTAGTACAGGCCGATCCTTTGATCAAGCGAGCGGGGGTGCTCATTGCATGACCTTCCCCTCTCGTACCCAAGTTCCCGAGCCGAAGCAACTTTGGTGATGACGGACACGTGGCTTTAGGCACGAGTCAGGGTTTCCTAAATTTTCCCCAAAACAAAATATTTAGGTGGCGACTCTGTATCTGGTAAAGCAGTCCATGTTTGGCATTTTTTTTATAAAAATCAGTTTTCCAAAACGATTTGCCGGATTTGGACTCTTTGGTGATTTATCGGTCTTGCATTGCACTTTGCGAGATCAGATTCAGAACCGTGACATTTGAGTCCGAACTGTAGTAGTAAGCCCAAATGAACAGAACGGGGTTTTTCCGGAACGTTCGGGCGCGTTTACAATAAGTTAATTGTTAGGTGGAGTAGTATGATTAATTGTTGTTGAGTGGATATGAATATGTTGATGTTTTTTGGTATCATTTCTGAAAACCCTCACGAGACTTTACTCGTTCACTAGAGATAACCTTGTGGTTTAAAGGCTTGTTGCATATGCTAAATGCAATCGTGATCCCTACAAAAGTGACTTAGAGTTATTTTACTTTTCTTATTTCTTTTGTTTTGCTTGAGGACTAGCAAAATGTAAGTTGGGGGATGTGATGTTGGCCGAAAAGTACCATATTGAGGTCACTGAAGTTACATTTTTAGTCTTTCAATATTGTTTATTGTAGAGATGATGTGTTTTGTACATTTGTATAGATTTGGCAGATAACATGCAAATTCAGTCAAAAATTGCGCGAAAACAGATTCTCCGAGCGAGAAGTGAAAAATCCAAGCCAGCCAGACCATCGCACGTGCAGCCAAGCTCCACCGTACGTGCGGCCCACCACTGCTTGAGCGGCTTACCTAGGGATGCGTGCATGAAATTTTCAGTCTGTTTTGCTGAGAATAAAAGGAAGAAAAAGAGTCTAACTTAGGGTTCGAATTTTATTTGACCAAAAGAGGAGGCTAGGGTTAGAGAAAGGGTGATTTTCCTTAAGCTTGCTATTCCATGGATGGTGCTTCTTCTTCTACCTCTTCCCACTCCTCTATGAGTGGCTAAACTCATCTTTTCTAGGGTTTTGATGAAACTCTAGCCATGTAATAGGATTTTTCATAAGTTTTAACTGTGAATTGGTTTGAATCAATGTATGGATTATTTAAAAGTTTTTAATAATTGTTTCTTTCATCTCTTCAAGTATTTTACTCTTTGTGATTGTTTAATACTTTCCATACATTAGTTTTCTTTGTGTTTGTATTCAATGTATGAGACGAATCATGCTACGAGAGACGGGTTGTATTGCTACCATAGTTTAGAGCAAATACCTCGTACTACTCGGGATGATTCGTGCTTGTACGTTTAATGTGACAACTCTCTTGATCAATATTTCAAACTTGTAGTTATGAAATATTGGGTAGTTTAAACCGAATTTGGCCAATGTTAAGTCTCATTTATGTGGTTAGTGGTGAATTCTTTGCCCTAAGATTTTTTCCAAAAATTAATACCACAAACTCTAATTTTAATTGTTAATTTAATTCTTCAATTTCATTTAATTCTTGTTTAGTCATAAAATCAATCTAATCTTTCTAATCAAAATTAATTTAGGAATTTAGCGATTGAATTAGTTTAATTTCACATTTATCCCTATGAATCTTGGATTTGCCATTATTCTAAAAAAATTTGATATAATTTAATATTTTATATTTAATGTGTATAATGACCTATCAAATTTTGATATCATTTTTCAGTTTTTTTTTGGCTAACCATAACCCAAACTAAATCCACCGTTAACAAATCAAACACCTTCTTTTAGGCACAGGCTCGGGTTTAGATCCGGCGCTACACCAGTAGTGCCAAAAAATAGAAGAAAAAGCGTGAAAATGAATATTTTACGCGTCTTCTCCACCTCTCTGTGTGAGTTTCATACACAGCCCAATGAAGCCATCGAAGAGCAAGAACAACGTCCTGTTTTCTAGTCTGGTTTGCTTATACATTGTGAGCATTTTGTTTGCGCATGGAGCTTTGGGCATCAGATTTCCCAATCAGATCTCTCAGGTCCCCAAGGACTCGCCCAATCTACCCCTGAAAAGTGCTGTTTTCGCTCTCGGAAGCTTCTGGAGATCCGAAGCCGTGTTTGGATGCTTGGATGGCGTTGTCCGGACAACCGCCGGTTACGCTGGTGGATCTAAAATCAATCCCGCGTACCGAAGCTTGGGCGATCACGCCGAGTCTGTACAGGTACTCTGTCTCTCTTGAGAACATTGTTTTGGAATTTTATTTATTTTTTCTAGTGTTCGTTTGGTTGCCGGGAAAAAAAAAGTGGGATTGGGAATGTGGGGAGGAATTCAAAGAAGATAAATATTTCGACTCAATTATGGACATTCCAATTAGTTGTGTTTTTATTTTAGAAAATTTAACAATAGAAAGCAACGTTATCGTAGGTTGTGTTTGGATTTATGTATTTGAAATAATTGGATTTGGGATCTAATCATTCAAGGAGAGTAGTTCATGATAGTTTAGATATGGATTTCATGAATTGAATATGAGAGATTTCGCATGATGGATTGAAATTCCAATATAAAAGTAGTTATACGGAAAATCATAATAAAATAATTCAATTCTTACTCTACTCTAGCTCCCCATTTAGTTTCTCAATCTATCTAAAATAACCAACTCACATATATTTTTGTAAAGTTCAACCTCAAATCCCTTCATTTGAAATCCATCCATCCATCCATCCAAATGGAGCCTTAGTTCTGTTTTCTTTGCGACAGCTAATACCCCATGCTGAGGATTAAGAGAAGAAAAAGAGAAAGACGAAATTATATAAATAACTGGGAAGGTCAATGGACAAGAAAATGCAGTACCCTAGAACTATTAGTTAATTGATTGGATGCAAATAATTGAACTCAAAACTGATTGATCAGCTATCATCAGGACCGAGCAGCAATGCATTGTCCAAAGACTTTCCTGTTAGTTAATTTTGCAATACTCCTCTACTGGGTGAATAATAATCAGTGTGTTTGGTTTGAGTTTTTTGAATTAAGTTTTTTGAAAACTGAGTTTTTTAGGTGCCGTTTGGTAACACTTATGTTTTCAGTTTTCTGTTTATATTTACAAAAATTTTAAAAACTCAAATAAAAACTTGTTTGGTAAAATTGTTGATTTATAAATCAGTGGTCTCAGTTTATAAATTTGGCCAAAAAATGAAAACTAGTGAATATTTTTAAATTTTAAACATTTTTTATTTTATTTTTTTAGATGCACCTTACTTAAATGTATCTAAAAAGTAAAAAATTTGTGAAAAAATATTTTAAAAAATTAATAAATACATAAAAATGCAAAAAATGTATTGAATTCTCGTATTTTTTTTTGTATTTTTGATATTTAGTGAATTTTTAAAAGGTTTTTTTCAATTTTTTTTTAAAACTTTTTTTACGTATATTTATGTTTAGTGAATATTTTTAAATTTTAAACATTTTTTATTTTATTTTTTTAGATGCACCTTACTTAAATGTATCTAAAAAGTAAAAAATTTGTGAAAAAATATTTTAAAAAATTAATAAATACATAAAAATGCAAAAAATGTATTGAATTCTCGTATTTTTTTTTGTATTTTTGATATTTAGTGAATTTTTAAAAGGTTTTTTTTCAATTTTTTTTTAAAACTTTTTTACGTATATTTATGTTAGGTATGTCTAAAAATTAAAAAAAATCGCTCAAAATATTAAAAAAATTCAATAAAAACAAAAAAACACAAAAAATAAGAAAGTAGAATTTTTTAAAAAGTGTTTTTGAAAAGTGGTAACCAAGCATAGTGAATATGATTTATAATGCACAATGGTGCTGCTGCTTCAGTGCAGTATCCTTGTATTGCTAAGCCTGTCATAGATAAAGCTTGAGCCCTTCAGAACTTTGTTTTAAGAATTCTCCACAGTAGTTTGTTTTTGCACACTTGTATTTACATCTTCTCTTTTGCTTCAATAAATTATAATAAAAAAAATGGATGGTCATAGATGCTAAGAATAACCATTTTCTTTACTTTGATTCTCGCATCAATAAAGAAGGGATGATCAAAGATTTATTCAGAGTAGCGTGAATGTGCCTCTAGAATGGTGTGTGGTAGTACTATTCGTATGAAGTTGAAGGAAATGGTTATAAGGGCAGCTTTTCTTTATGGCACAAACTTGTAAATAGTTTTCAAGAAGCATTTGCAGGAGTGTAAAAAAAAGGGTGTTAAATAGATGATTAACAACACAAGAAAACATGAAATAAGAAATAAGCATATTACCGCAAAGATGATAGATGGTGGTGTCTTTTGAAAACTAATTATTTAAGAAGGTGCAGCCATGTGCACAAAGACCAGTAGATTTTCATGTATGGAGGTGTAAGTTTGTGAACAAGTTATTAATTTGATATCTTTTTGTTTGTGGGAGTTGCTATAGTTCTTCGTTGTGCCATTTTTTCACCAAGAGAATGAAAGCAGGTAGCAAAGGAATGAAGCTTCAATATCCATGGTTTAAAATCAAAAGTTGGAACAATTGCCTATTTTACATGTCGTGTCTCCAGTGCAATGTCCGCTTGCCAATATTTATCTGATAAGTTTTCCTTGGCTTAATCCCAACACAAATCAATTGTAGGCAGTTTTAGGTTAAGTTTCTCAATCTGTCCTACATCACTGCCACTATGCCATTAACTAGTAGTGGGATCTTGGAAGCTTCATTTTCACTTTAAATTGTTCAACATTTCAATTTAGGAAATGCTTTACCCTTGTCATGTTCAGATGCAACAGTTTATCATCAGGTCTTAAATAAGATCATATTTCTTGATAAATAATTGGTTCTTAGAGTTAAATGTTAAAATGTATTGGGGTTTTTTTTTTTTTGGTTCTTTTTGGGTTTCATGTAAGAACTTTATCTCCACTCCATATATCCAGAATGACATGTTTCTTTTCCTCAGTTACTTTTATAGAAACTTTTATGATATTGTTCTTTAAATGCATGTGCAGATTGAATATGATCCTAGGCTGATTAATTTTAGGCAACTTTTGGAGGTGTTCTGGTCCAGTCATGACTGTAGACAAGTATTTGGGCAAGGTCCTGATGTGGGGAACCAGTACAGGTGAAATTGGTGACTTTAAGCATTTCTTCATGCAAAACCCCATGCTCATCTAATGTACTCTGTCAACAGGTCTATCATCTTCACAAATGGAACTGAAGAATCCAGGCTGGCTGCAGTCAGCAAAGAAAGAGAACAAACTAAGTCAAAGAGCAGTATTGTAACTACACAAATTCTACCACTTGGCACATTTTATCCTGCAGAACCTGAACATCAGGTTTAGTATTCTTTAACATGATCCAATATACAACTTTAGAGAGAATCATGATTCATGAACTAATGTAATGTAATGTTGTGTAATTGTAGTTTGTTGGGTGCAGTCCTATTGTGCATACTCATAATTGAATCTGTAAATCATGCTATTTTGAGAACAAAATAAAAAAAAGCAGGGGCAGAAAAACAAAGCCTGTTGAGTTGGTGAATTGAGCAGACAATGCTTTGATAAAGGTTTTTTTTTATTTTTATTTATTTATTTATTTATTTTTCCAGCATAATTTTTTGTCATTCTTTCACATGCTCCTTTTGTTTTCAAATGTATAAATGTAAAGTGAATCTGAGTAATATTTTTGCAAGTGTAGGAGCAGAAATTGCTACCGAGGTTGAAAGGAGAAGAGCTTAGTTTTCTCTCTTTATTTAGTTTTAAGGTTTTCACTGCCTACCTAATAATAAACATGAGATATTGATGAAATCTAAGATTTAGCAGTCAGTTTAGATTTGCATTCTGAAGCCAGAGAATCTATGGTACAACTTAACTAAATGACTGATCAACGTTCTACGTTACGATATCTGCAGAAATTTGAGCTCAAACGAAATCCATTCTTCCTTCAGCTGATTGGGAATGTGCCAGAAGAGAAGCTTGAGAGTTCGAGCCCGGCAGCAAAACTAAACAGTTATGCAGCAGAGCTTTGTCCAACCAAGATTCAACAGCAGATTGATTCAAAGATCAATGACATTATTAGAAAAGGTTGGCCCATTTTAAGAGAATTATAGATACACAATTTACTTTTCTCAAGCTGACAAGATTTAGGAAGAGGTTAAATTGGAGTAGACTTCAGTTACAATTTGCCTAAGCTGACAAGATTCATTGACGTATCCATGGGTTTCCTTCTTGGATATGCGTTGCAGAGAATTGTAAGCCGTAGGGTAGAGGAGCTGAAAGTTCTTGATTTTAAATCAATCCGAGTAGCTGAAAGTCCTTCATTAAGGGTTTCACTGTTTCGGGTATGTCGGGTCTTTGAACCTCGAATCACTTGTGAATTGTTTTCATGATTTTATGCAATTCTTTTGTAGGATCAGAAGGAAAATTGTTTCTCTTAGACATATTGGCCATTTGATTTGAATATCAAGAAATGTGAGGTATATCAGTTACCTTCTATATACTTTGTCTAATGCTAATGTGATTTTTTCTTGAAAATCATTATAAAAATTAAAAAAACATCGAAAACATGCTCCCCCCCCCCCCCCCCAAATTTTTCTTACTCCCCTAATCAAATTTTTCATCAATCCTTTTATCAAATTTTAAATTTGATAAATAAAGAGTTAAAAGTGAGTTCCAATCATTTCATTAAACTTGTACCAAATCAAGAGAGAACCAAATTACCAAATCATCCTTTTCCTAATTTTTAACATTCATATTTTACTCATTTTTGGTGAAATTTTTTTATAAAGTACGGTTTAAGGATAATTTCTTTCATAGAAAATGATTAAAACAAGTTCTAGAATAAGTTTGAATTTTTTTATAAAAATTGATGAAAAAAAAGGATATGGATTAAAGTGTTCCATACCATATCAAGTTTTTATCTAAATTTTTACTCATAATTATATATGTATCTATATAACAATGGAAGAGTTCATTTGAAAATGTCTCCCAAATTAATGGTTTAGATCTATCTAATTTGAAAAGCAATGGCTCATATTTATTTTTAAAAATATCTCTCTTACAAACTATCTTTAATAGTCTAGATTTGTCTAATTTAAAAACAAGGGATGAGATTGAAAAGAGTCTCAGTGGTCTAGATTTATCAATGGCTAAAATTCAATGGTCCACATTTGTTTACTTATCACCTCTCACCAACCCACTACATTTTACATCATATGTATGCTACACTTCACATATGTATGTACGAACAAAGCTCTGAGAAAGCTTTGAAGAAGGAAGAAAGCTCTCAGAAACCCAGGTAAAGAACTCTTATCTCCTCACTTTCTTTTTGTTTTCCATTCATTTTTGTACCTCTGTTTTTTTTTCCCTAATTCATAGCTCTGTTTTTCTTTTTTTTCATCATCCTGTCATCCCCACCCATCCAACTTTTAAGTCTTTATATCACGATTATACCTTCAGTTTGAAAGCTAAACAATGGCTCAGATTTATTTTGCTCTTCCCTGGCTTCACCCACTATTTTTTCTTGAAGCAAAAAAAAAAAAAAAAAAAAAATCCGTGTTGTGTTTTTTTCTTAGTTCTTTTTTAACATTAATTGGATTGACCCACTTCTTTTTTCTTAATTCTTTTTCACGTTAAGAATCATTTTTATTTCATCTTAGTCAAATGGGTTGAGGCTGTAACGCCCTCAAAATAATACATATAAACCCACATTCTTGACATGCATAGACATAAGAGAATAAAGCACAATTCCATATATTAGAGTATTCATTACAAAAGTGTTACATGTTGACAACAAAAGTAAATGCCTTACGGGCTTACAACTTTCCAAGCCAACACTTGGTTATAAAAAGAGAGTACTAACTCAATACACTTTAAACCCTTAGCTTGAATTTACATGTAATACCAAAAGAGAACAACAAAGAGATCTATCAACCTCAAAGCCTCCCAAGCTACGTCCTTGGAGGTGGCATATCACCTGAACCTGAAAAATGATCCATATAGGGTGAGCCAATGCCCAGTAGAGATATACTAAACCAAGTATGAGAAATAACTAAAACAGTAGCATTCGATAGATGGTTAACACCTATAAATTCCACTTTCCTTCACTTATACAATCTCGATTCATAAACATGGCTCAGAACTTAGCTAAACAATTAAATGAAACTACAACTCATATTAAAAACACTTCCATACTTCAATCATCAACGTTATGCAAACGTAATTAAGATTTTGGGACTTTCACCCTGGACACTCCGGCCAATTTAGTTATCAATGGAGTCCATCCCCTATGTCCTCCCAAACAGGTTTGAGAGTACATTCCCTATCTCCTCTCAAACCATGGAGTACATCCCCTATCTCTTCCCAAACAATATAAATATACAATGTATTTAAACACTTATCATAAACAATGATCAATCAATACACATATTCGATGTATTATTCCAACCGTCTTATTCAATGTCATATTCCAGGTGATTAGTTTCAGTTTTCACTAATCAACATACAGTGTCTACAACAATCAAGACTATCCTCCACCGATAGCCCAAAGTAGTTATCTCTAAACAGATAATAAATTTATCAACAGATAAAATATCAACATTTTCATAGGTGAGTGATTAATTAATCCAACTACACTATTCAATCTCACAACTTTCCAATTCCATGATTTTCAACTCAATTTCATATTTTTCCAAATTAATTATTCAACATGATTAGGGCATTTTCCTCTTTTTTCAAATATCAACCTAAGGTTCAATTTCATCAATTTAACAACAGTAATTCCATTTTTCAAGGTCTCACATACACATGGAGTTTAACATTTGAAAACCCCATTTTTATAACCTCAAATCAAACCCTAACTTTTCCAAAATTACCAAACCATACCATCTAACCAAAATGACTAAAATTTTTGTCAAAACTCATAAGATGGAGTAGGGTATCTTTACCTCGAAATTAGAAGCCCAAAGGAGTTGATGAAGAAAACTCAAAGTGCTCTAAATCCACGAATTTTCAAATTAAAGTGAAGCCCACGCCACCCTCTATCTTTCTTACAAAGAGATTTGGGTGGAAACACTCTAGAAACAGATGAAATCCTAGAGAGAGAGAGTGTGTAGAGAGGAGCAGCCGGGGTTAGGGTTTGAGTAGAGAAGAAGATGAAAAAGTGTGTAAAAACCCTCTGCTGCAAACTGATATACTCGAGCCTCGCTCGAGCGAAGGAGTGGTCGCTCGAGTGACCAGACATAAAGAAACCTCGCTCGAGCACACAAAGCCTCGCTCGAGCCAACAATTCGAAGCTTCAGGTTTGCAACCCAGAAGCACACTCGAGCGAAGAAACCCAAAACATTATTCTCGCTCGCTCGAGCGAAGGAAAGCTCGCTCGAGCCAAGAAATGCAACCATCAGGTCCAAACTAGACGCAGACGCAAGCTTGAGCTCAAGACTTCTCGCTCGAGCCAACAGACACACCACTCAACTCTCGCTCGAGCGAAGGAACCCTGGCTTGAGCCAAGGAACTAAAACACAGAGCTCGTTTGAGCGACAAAATCCTCGCTCGAGCGAAGACACCAAAATCTGGGCAGCAACCATTTGTTTCAAAATATACCCAGCTTGTTACAAATCTGCCCAACACATCCTAAAACTCAAATGCAAAGAATTGAAGGATGGAAATGAAACATATACAACAACAGACATCCACAGAACCTAGTCCGGAATACAATAACCAATGGAGGGAAAACCGGGATCGCTATAGAGGCTCTCTTTAATTATCAATGGTCACATTTTGTTCTTTTTCAATTTTTTGTTTGATTTCTGATTGTGTTTTGATCTCTATTTTTTGGATTTTCTTTCTTTCTCTCTCTCTCTCTCTTTCTCTCTCTCTCTCTCTCTCTTTTTAAAGTTTGGCTGTTGATTGTTGGAAGAGAGAGGAAAACGAAGTTTGAATCATATGCATTGTTGTTTGATCAAAACACAATCTGAAGCAAAAAAAATCAGTGTTGTGTTTTTTTCTTAGTTCTTTTTTAACATTAATTAGATTGACCCAACACAATGACTTGAGGCTCTCTTTAATTGGTCACATATTGTTCTTTTTCAATTGTTGAGAGAGAGAGAGAGAGAGGAACAAGAAGTTTGAATCATATGCATTGTTGTTTGATCAAAACATAATCTGAAGCAAAAAAAAAAAAAAAAATCTGTGTTCTGTTTTTTTCTTAGTTCTTTTTTAACATTAATTGGATTGATCCAACACAATGGGTTGAGGCTCTCTTTAATTGGCCACATTGTGTTTTGATCTTTGATCTTTGTTTTTTGGATTTTCTTTTTATTTTTATTTTTAATTTTAATTTTAAGTTTAAGTTTGACTGTTGATTGTTGAGAGAGAGAGAGGAAAAAGAAGTTTGAATCATATGTATTTTTGTTTGATCAAAACACAATCTGAAGAAAAAAAAATAAAAAAAACAGTGTTTTGTTTTTTTCTTTGTTCTTTTTTAACATTAATTGGATTGACCCAACACAATGGGTTGAGACTCTCTTTAATTGGTCACATTTTGTTTTGATCTCTGTTTTTTGGATTCTCTCTCTCTCTCTCTCTCTTTTATTTTTTATTTTTTTATTATTTTTTATTATTTTAATTTTAAGTTTGGCTGTTGATTGTTGAGAGATTAAGATTTTAATTATAAAGTGTAGGGTTTTTTTTTTTTTTTTTTTTTTTCCTGAAAAAAAAAAAAAAAAAAAAAAAAAAAAATTGAAGCAAAAAAATAAAATTATGTGTTGTGTTTTTTTCTTAGTTCTTTTTTAACATTAATTGGATTGACCCAACACAATGGGTTGAGGCTCTCTTTAATTGGTCACATTCTGTTCTTTTTCAATTGTTGAGAGAGAGAGAGAGAGGAAAAGAAAGTTTGAATCATATGCATTGTTGTTTGAATCATATGCATTGTTATTTGATCAAAACACAATCTGAAGTAAAAAAAAAAAAAAAAATCTGTGTTCTGTTTTTTTCTTAGTTCTTTTTTAACATTAATTGGATTGACCCAACACAATGGGTTGAGGCTCTCTTTAATTGGTCACATCGTGTTTTGATATCTGTTTTTTGGATTTTCTTTCTTTCTCTTTCTTTTTTTTTTTGTTTTTTGTTTTTTTAGTTTGGCTGTTGATTGTTGAGAGAGAGAGAGAGAGGAAAAGGAAGTTCGAATCATATGCATTTTTGTTTGTTATCTCAGATTTATTTTGCTCTTCCTGACATCACCCATTGTTTTTTCCTGACGCAAAAAAAAAAAGAAAAGAAAAATTGAAGCAAAAAAATAAATAAATCTGTGTTGTGTTTTTTTCTTAGTTCTTTTTTAACATTAATTGGAGTGACCCACTTCTCTCTCTCTCTCAATCAAATGGGGGATAAGGAAAAATGGATTTCATGTTAAGAATCATTTTTATTTCTTCATAATCAAATGGGTTGAGGCTCCCTTTAATTATCAATGGTCGCATTTTGTTCTTTTTCAATTTTTTGTTTGATTTTT